CTTACTCCCAGCGGCTGCGGGAAACAAACTCAGCTATATTTTTCCACTTTCCACTTACTTCTACAGATTTCCTTCATTGTCTATCCTAGTTCCCCACCCTCAAAACCTCCTATAACCACTGTTTTCGCAGGACAAAATGCTGGAGCTAGGGGTATATGAGATGCACTACTTAAACTACCTTTGACTATGCGTCTTCTAAACAGTTTCCGTTGAGTTTATTCAGTTTCTATATTGCATGTCTGCAAACCTAATTAGCTATAGGACACGAAGTTTGCCCGAAGAAGGTTCGGAACAACTGAGGAGATTATAAATCACCAACCACTGCCTTTTTTCGGTGCACTGGGGTCTAAACAGCGAAAAAGGCTGCCTTGATAGGTCTCTAGCGACACAGCGCACTTCCACAGAGGTTGAATACGGAAATTTAAACATGTTTGCGGGGGGCAGATCCTCTACGACTTGCTGAAAATAATTGAAACACTCGTTTGACGAATGCCCTCGGGCGCACCGTCAAACCGTTCTTTATGCCTGGATAAGAAGGCCTAGCTGTTGAATTGTTAAGTAGCTTAAAAGAACAGTTAAGAACCCTTCTCGTCTACCTTAGCAGCGAAAGTTCGAATTATAGGTGTACTACTGAATTAGGAAAACGGACCTTTGGTATACGCAAATAAATCCAACTCTTTTTAATAGGTTTCATTCACCTGTCAGCGTAGACGACATTGTAGTTGTTCCAGCGAATTTACACAATTGCTGCTTTTCCACTATGTTTACGCGTCCCGCTGACCGCGACTGTCTACGACAGAACTTCTGCCGAAGGCGATTTTGAACGGTTCTTTTTCAGAATTTTGTTAGAAAGGGCAGTTATTTAGACGGGGATGAGGCTTTGTACGCTGACACTTTATTAACCTCATTTACTAAGAGTTCTCGCTCACCCAGACAAGGTGTTAGACTGTGCTCTGGTGGTTTGATGATATCAGAACACTTAACTGATAGGCGAAGTCAGCAAATCATAAAATCGACCAAAGCCGCTTCCTATGCTATAAATGTTTTTTTTTTCATTTAATTGCACGATTCCCACGGGTCTACTAGAACGGATTCACGTCAAACGAGGCAATTTTACATCCTGTGGCAGGTAATTTTATGAAAGTCGCCATAAAGGTCACTAAGGTACCATAATATATGAATGTTTTATCAGAAAGTTGATATAACACATAAGTAAGTAATGACCGGACAGAATGAAACCCCGACGAATGGGATTATCGATGCGAATTATTTTTTGGAAGATAATATAAAACGGGGGTGATAACACAGTGTTGATGATGAGCCTGGAACATCAGAGACTACTTTTAGACCCGACAGAACACCGCTACGTAGTACGCAGATACTCATTGGTTTACAATGATTACCTAAATCTAACTCATACTTCTTTTTTGTAGAGCAAAACGTCGTATGCAAATTGCATGCTTGTAGACAGGACTTCTTCTTCTCATTAAAAAAAACTTCTAACGCATGCACATGTTCAAAAAACATTTTTAAAAACATTTTCACTTGCGCAGAGATAACTTCATATCACGGCACTATACACGCCTATGACAGTAGCACGCACCAGTTCCTACTGAGAATGATTATGTCCCTAAATCAGAATATACCAATATACACCAGTGCTCTCGTGGTTGACTATTCTCGAGGTTATTTGACGTGACGTGATCACACTGTTGCAATGGTGGGAACGCTGCTAGATGAGTAATTAACTCGATTATTGAATCTCTGCTGCGCAGCTCGCGTGAATTTGGTAGCACGCCCTGATGAACTTAAATCATCCCAGTTTCCCTTATGTTGACGCGAAAGACTACTCAAATATCGCCTCATAACCGTTATGCGATCCAATGGAAAATAAAACTACCCGCGGCGCAGTGGCTAGGTCGTCGGACTTCTAATCAACAGGTGCTATTGAATTGCAGGGCCTGTGCTTCTCGCTAATGTGAGATTCGAATTGTCTGTACAGTAGCCTGGTACATGATTTCAATACCACTTCCTGTATTTTGCCTGCGTTGACGGTCCGCTTGGCTTTGTCAGGCACTACGGCCGGTCTGTTCGACACTGTTTTGCCTTTGTAGTGGGTGGGCAGGGGAGTGAGTGCGTGAGGTAGATGCCGTGCAAGTACGCCTCACAATAAGGCATATCAGGAGTAATTCATCCGGATTGATTCTATTCCGTGAGACACGCAGTAGATGTTGACGTTCGCGGTTGCCAAAGTTCCGTCGTGTGTCAACAAATGTGGGATAACATGTGTGAGTGGTCGGTAAAAAGATAAAGCGCCCCGATGTTAGGAGCCTAGAAGGCCCTTTGGTAAGGATGACTTTTATGGCCACCTAAACAAGATACGAGAACACGAATGGCCCGTCCACTTAACATGGCTGGTCTCACGATAAATTTCAGGCCATATAAATATACCCGTGTCCTAATCCTAACATACAAATAAACTCCAACCTGAGTCTTACAACTTGTTCAATCCTTAACCTAAATCCGACAGTTAACAAGAATCAAAACCCTAACCCTTCAAATGATTGGGACTCTACCCCAAAACTTCAACCTAGCCATCGTCCTAATTCTTAACCTAATTTCCGTAGAAGTTGGCGCAAAGCTGCATATATTGTACGTAGTTTCTGTCCCCATGTCTGTTTGGGCAACCATACAATTCACCCTTAGCGGCCCTTTAGTGACCTTGTGAACTCAAGGCTATCTGTTCCATCGAAAATACTGTCCTTAGGAAGTTTAGCGCCTCTCTACTCGTGGATTTGCAAGAGGCGGTGCAAGATACTTTGATTAGTGAAAATTCCAATCAGATTGATAGGAAAAGGTCATACATACTGATCGTTTTTATTGAGAGGTCCTAACGAAACCAAGGAAACGAATCTCCTCGTTTTATCTGTTGATTAGTTTTCTAAGTCACGCCTTTCCACCACTATAAACACACTCCTAGGTGCTCCTCTTCATCTTCTCCCGAAATGGTTTGTTCACGTATTTCCCTAGGGATATTCCCAGGCGATATTCATTTTTTCGAGGGTCGCCGGGCACATACTAGGCAACGACCGTCTGCAGCTGAAGGAGAGGTCACGAAATTTATGACATCATTAAATTCTGCTAATCTAGTGATCTTCGCCTTGTACAAATTTCTTCCGGGAAAACAATGCTGCAAATATTACTGGTTTGCTGACGTAATTCAATGCGTATCTCATGTAGACATTTGCTTCACCGAAAGGGCCTGTCACGCTAGGTCTGCGTGATTGAGTTCTACGGCACTAACAATGGTTTGTATTACTCCTCTATTTTTTTTCAATCTCCTCCCTAGAACCGTGATCTTTTCAACAACTTCAACATCGATCCTGCCACTTTCGTCAATTATATCCTTCGGCTAGAATCTGCCTATCAAATCACCAATCCCTATCACAATCACGTGCATGCCGCAGATGTCCTTCAGGCGGTGCATGTCCTTTTACAAGCAGAAACCCTCGAGGTAAGGCCCATACTAACTTCACCCCTCTTTTTGTCTGTTAAATAAATGGTATTTTTCGAAAACACAGTGCGACTTCGTATTGTTCAGCTTATTGTGGCCGCATTGGCTCAAGCCCTTGCATGTTTTCCTTGTTCATGCCTGTGTTTTTTGTGATCAGGGCATAGCCGACTTTTTAACCTCTGGTATATATGAAAATTTATAAGAACAGAATTTATTGAAGACAGCAATTTCGTTAGGGCTTTTAAGTTAGAACCTGTTAGGGTTCACTCCAATCCAATCAGCTGGCAACAAAGCTGATGTCAACGCGCAAGCAGGCAGGCAGCGAGCCACGCTCACATCAGGCTATCGATCGGCCTAGACGCGGCGAACGCAACTGGCAATTAATCAATAATTTAACACTTAAAGCTGCGGCCAGACTAAAAATCTGACAAGCTAACCGCTGAGTCACAAACAAATCGTGTAACTACTCGCTCCAGAGCGGTATCTGATTGGTCCGATGGAAATTGTTGTACACGCATTGTTCACCTTACATTTGTTGTACTAGATACACAAGTAGACTTCTACTTTTGTGCCCTTCTTGTTGTGTACTTCCCTGTGGACGCACATAAGACGTTATTAGGCGGTGACGTCTCGGCTTTGGCTACATATACAACAGAACCCGTTTGCAAAATGAAATAGATAACGAATAAAAAGTGCAAAACAGTGTGAATTTGCACATTACTTTAATGCATAACAGCAAGGTTATCTTTCACCGCAGTATAGTTTTTAATGCATTTTTATATTTGAGGCTATGCTAAATTGACGAAAACCCTTATTTACACTGGCTAAGTTTGTGGGTTTTCTCTCCTAGCGTGATTATACGCAAGTAGCCGGAGATATGTGCGTGTAGACGACAACACTTCACTCTTTCACCGGGTGAACTTTTTTATACTCGGAAGCATATCTGAAATTTTTTACTCGATGATACACATCCGCAGCAAGTCGGGCCCCGGCCTGGCTTCCTGGACATCAGATGTGATCTGACAGGTAGGACAGCCGTGCTGCTATCTCATCATGTTCACCGTTCGGCTATAGCAACGTTAAAGGGGTTGGTGCAACATCCGGTACGCGTCCACTCAGTAATCAAACCGCTTTGAAAACAGTTTTTATACAGATTTTAGTTTACCGGGACGGCATGGTGCTTAAGTTTTTTTAGTTCATCGGTAGTGTCAGCGCGGATCATGAAAACATTTCATCTTGGATCTTCACTAGATTTATGTTGCCCATACAAGCGAACATGCGAGTTCCAGGAAGTAATTGAGAAGAAGATGTGATCGCTAGGACAAGAGTTTTATTCACCTGACGTTGCGAGATCCGTCGCAGATACTTCATCAGGGACAGTAGCAGAAACGGATACTTTATGCTCAGGGAGTTGCAATATTTATAGGATACAGTCACTATACTACTGCTAAGTTAGGATAATTAACAATAATTGCCCGTTTTTGCGCTTATTGCTCTACGGCCGGCGTGCGGACCGTGACCTGCTGAACTTTTATCAAACGTATTGGAATTGCACGTGATGATTGCTCAGCCATCTGTCAGTTTACCGTATCCGTATTGGTGGATTCCATACGTGCAGTAGGCTGAGTGGGTAAATCGACCGAAGTGTGATTAAATTCAGGGCATTCGGTGTGCCTTCATGGCTTGATTCGTAGAGCTTTGAATGTAGTAAAGGCTTCCCTGCTGATGTGAATTCGAATCCCGACGCCGACGCTGTCGCCAAAATTTTCACAATTGGGTCAATTGAAAAGAATAATTGTCGAAAACGCGCACATTCATGTTGAATAAATAGAGCCGCAGTTCCCCCGTCGATTTCGACGATGGGCACCACGCACTCCAACAAGCCGCAACATACACATAGGCAAGCTGGACAAGCAACACGAAAGCGACAGCAAGCAGGAGCAACGTAGAGAACTCGTGCGAGAGAAAACAGGACTTTAGGCAGACTCGCACAGAATCTACCCACTCGCTCGCCACTCCCGCCTCCGTATTCGGTGTATTGACAAAGTCAATAAGACT